TTTGTGTCCAGAAAGTTGGGTCCTGCTCAGTAGGAAAGAGAACTGAAATGGGCTCACTCCATCTTGGCCAGCACTGGGAACTGGGGGCAGCCTTCTTTATGGCAGTCATTTTTTCTGTTCTGGGATCAGAAAGTGTGCGCGGTGTGCTGCCATGCTCTTTAGTTTTGAACCCGTCTTAGCATCTCATGGTTTTGTGAGCGACTGGTGTTTTGGCAGTGCCTGGGCCGGTTGCACAGAATCTCTCTCAGTCTCACTCCTGAGTCACTCTTTGACCCTCACCACTCCCGTGAAACTGCATTAGCCCGGGCAACACGTAACTTCTGTGTCACTCGGTTCAGTGGCTGTCCCTTACCTTCATCCTTCTTTCTTAGCTCTTTGATTCTTTTTGTCTTGAAATACCTTCTCTGCTTGGCCCCGGGGCCTCTGCTCCCTCTGGGCTTCCCATTCTCTTCCCTGGCCACTTCTGCCCAGTCCTCTTTGCTGGCTCCCTCTTGGGGCTTGGCTGCTGGACTTTGGTGCCCTGGGGCCAAGTCTTCGTCTCCTCTAAGGCCCTTCATGACCGTATTCATCCCAGCAACTTTGGTTCCATCCATTCAGGGGCTCCCAGTTATATCCTTTGCTCAGATGTTGTCACATGTGTCTAGTAGGCACCTCAAACTTAGCATGCCTTAGCACGAAATAAAATGCCTCATTCCCCCGAACCCCAAGCTGTTCTCTCATAGTGCTCTCCTCCCAGTAAACGGATACTTCATCTTTGTGGCTCTTCAGGCTAACTCTTGGAGACTTCCTCCATTCTTCTCATGGTCTCCACATTTCGTAAATAGACCCACAATCTTCTCGCCCCTTCCCCACCACCACCTTAGCATAGGCCACTGGCATTTTTCACCTCTGTTTGTACTTCTACCCTTGCCCTCTGCAGTCTGCCCTTCATATCAGCCCACCAGATCCTTTTACAACTCAAGTGAGATCATGCCATTCTTCTGGTCAATCCCCTGGTGGTTTCTTCCATCTGTAAGCACAATACAGAGACCTGCAAGGCCCCTTCCAGATCTTCAGTATCCTCTCATCACACACCACGTCCCTGCCACACTGGCCTGCTGACTGATCCTAGAACACATCTGACCTTTCCTTCCTTGGGGCCTTTGCACTTGCTGTTCATTTGGTGTGGAGTGCTTTTCCAGGCATTCACATGCCCTATTCTCTCACTTCATTCAGTTCTCTGCTCAAATGTTACCCCACAGAGAGGCCTGTTATGACTTCCTTGTTTAAAATAACGCCATACCTCTGTGCCTCTTACATTCCCTGTCCCTCTTCCCAGGTTTTATTTTTTTCCCTACCACTAGTCCTCCTGTGTTTGATTTGGTGGTTACTCACAGTCTTTCCTAATAAAGTAAAAACTCCAGAAGGGGAGAAATCACATCAGTCTGGAACAGTTTCTGGTATCTAGTAGGTGCTCAGTAGGGATTTGTTGAATTGGTGGCTCAGTAAAAATGCTTCAAATGTGTAGATTTTATCTGTCCACAGAGCAGGCCCCTTAGAACCATCCAGATTTTCTCCTACAGTCATGGCCTGGGGAGGGATAGCCCCTGCCTCTCACTCTCATGGTCCCAGGCCAAATCACTTGGGCCACCAGTCTAGAGGCCCCCGCCTCCCACCCGGTGAGCACCTTTGATTGACAACCATAGTGGAGATCACTCTACTAGCGTCTCCGAAGTCTCCGCATGCCAGGGCGGAGGAAGCATTTCTCAGTCACCCACTTGCGTGGTGCAGGAGGTCATCGTCAGCACAGCTGCTTCCCAGAATGTCATCCAAGCGGCCAGTTCTCCATCACTCTAGATGATTCAGTGTGAGGAATCCATCACTCAGCCTGCCAGCGGGCAAGGCAGGAGACTGGCCATCCCGGCTCCCTCTCTGCTCCTTCCGGCCCTCTCTGAGTCTGATGTCAGAGCTAATTAAAGAAAAGGAAGCCTAATCTCTGCCCCAAGATTGGTGACAGCAGGGAGCCACGGGCCAGGGCCAGGCCATGGCTGTCATGCTCGATAGTGATGGGCAAATGCAACTGCTGCCCAGAAGCTGACATAGAGCCAGATAGCTGGTGGAGTGACAGCCCCAGATGCAGCCCTCAGGCTGCACTGCCTTCCTTGGAGGACTCTGGTGCAGGAAGTGCCCGGGCAGTCTAGCACCGAGCCTGCCCATTTGTATTCTGCAAGGGGATTTCATAGACCTGAGTTGGATGTCCCCACACCCACTGGGATTGACCCTTACATTTTTATTTAGAGTAAAATTTATCCTAGAAAGAGGATAGTTGGGAGAGTTTTGTCAAACGCATGCGATTGTATACTCAGCTCCACAGTAAAGACACAGCACAGTTCCATCATTGCCTCGAATCTGCCCTGAACCAGTGCTCAGTCCCTCTCACCGCCTCTGGCTGCCGTCAGCCACTGATCTATCTTGTGTCCTTAGAGTTTTGTCTTTTCAGAATGTCACATGAGTAGAACCATGGGGTACGTATCTCTTGAGTCTGGCTTCTTTCTCTCAGCTTCGTGTGTGTGAGAGTCATTCACGCTGCTGTGGGTCTCAGTCGTTCCATCCTTGTGGTTGCTGCGTAGTTGTCCACTAACTGGAGATTATCCCCAGCTTAAGGATATTTGTGTTGTTTCCCATTTTTGAACAAAGCTACAATTATGAACAAAGCTACAATAAACACATGCATAAAGGTTTTCGTGTGAACATCAGTCTTCACTTCCCTTGGTTGAATTCCTAAGAGTGTGGGTATGAGGTCATGTGGTAGGCATGTGTTGAACTTCTTAAGAAACTGCTGTGCCACTCTCCTACCAGCAGTACAAGGGGTTTCCACTTGTTGCACCTCCTTGCCAGCACTTGGGTAGGCCAGTCTTTAATTTTAGACATTCTATTAGATGGTGTCGCCCTGGGGTTTTCCGTGGCCTTTCCTACTGACTGATGCTGGTGAGCACCTTCTCGTGTGCTTTTTTGCCATCCATAGGTCTTCTTAGGTGAAGTGACTATTCAGGTCTTTTGCCCATTCAAAACATCAGGGCCGGACTCAGTGGCTCATCCTGTAATCCCAGCACTTTGGGAGGTTGAGGCGAGTGAATTGCCTGAGCCTGCGGGTTTGAGACCAGCCCAGGCAACTTGGTGAGACCTCACCTCTACAATAAAAAAAAGTTAGCCGGGCATGGCAGTGCATGCCGTAGTTCCGGCTACTTGGAAGGCTGAGGCAGAAGGTTCGTTGGAACCCAGCAGGTCAGCACTGGGGTGGCTGTGAGTGTGCCTGGGTGACAGAGTGAGACTCTAACTAAAAAAAAAAACCAAAAAACAAAAAAACCCCAAAAAATTGGGTTGTTATGATTATGATTATGTTTTGAGAGTTTTGAGAGCTCTTTATATTTATTTGGATACAAGTTCTTTATTAGGTATATGGTTTGTGTGACTATTTTCTCCCAGTTTATGACTTGTCTTTTCATTCCCTTAATAGTCCCTTTTGAAGAACAAAAGTTCTTAAATTCAGTGAAGTCTGGTTTATCAACTTATCCTTTTATGGACCATGCATTTGATATTATATCTAAGAAAACATTACCTGACCTAAAGTCACATTGATTTTCTCATGTTTTCTTTTAGAAGTTTTGTAGTTTTAGGTGTTATATTTAGGTCTATGATCCATTTTAAGTTAATTTTTTTCTAAGGTGTGAGGCCTGCACTAAGTTTCTTTTTTTTGACAGATAAACATCCAGTCATCCCCTGGTATGTATTGTAAAGACTTGTCCTTTCTCTATTTAATTCTTTTTGCACCATATCAAAGAGCAAGCGGACTTTTGGTGTGGTTCTATTTCCGGACTCTCCATTCTGTGCCATGAATTTATGTGACTGTCCTTTCACCACACTATCCTGGCTATTGTAGTCTTACAGTAAGTCTGGACATCAGGTAGTGACACACTTACCTTTCTCCCCCCACTTTACTGATGAGGAAACTGACCCCAATTATGGCTAGTGTCTCCTTTATTCCCTTCCTTATACAAGTTAGGTGCTCAGCTCATATTCAAGACCCATCTTCTCATGTCTGATGCGCAGGACACAGTCTTTGGAGTCTGGTTTGGGTTTAACTCTTAGCTCTGCTTTTGTTAGTTGTATAGCCCTTGGAAATTAACTTTTACCCTGCTGTGCCTCAGTTTCTACATCTGTAAAATGGATGTAATTATAGTACCTGCCTTATAGATTGTGGCAAAGATTAAATGAGTCTCTGTATCAAGTTAAACCGTATGAAATTGTTGATAACTGATCATTTTCGCTGACACGATGGCAATTTTATGTAGTTCAACCTAATATGCAAATGTTCTTTGTAGTGCTGGATAGAGGTATGTACTTCAGAAATGGTACCTGTACCCTCATCATCATCACCGTCATCGTCACGATTACAGTGGCTGCTCTGCTGCTATGGTGACAAAATTATTATTGTTGAAGGTGGAGGCTCTGAGGCTGTTTCATGTAGCTTGTGCCCTCGAATCAGGCAACCAGGATTTCCTAGGTGACAGGCTTCTTGCGAGTCTTCAGTGTTCCAGCCTAGGCGCTGCTCTTGTGGAGCAGAAGTGACCCCCTGTTGGAGCAGACGTGTGTGTGTGCATGCTGTGTGTGTGTGTGTGTGCGCGCGTGTGTGTGCGTGTGTGTGCGCGCGTGTGTGTGCGTGCTCGCGCACGCAATGTGCTAGGGGAAAGCTCAGTGGGCAGGACTTTCTGGACGTGGTCCAGTAAGCGAGTCCTATAGGATGATTGGGAATTTGGAGAGGAAGGACATTCCAGGATCAGGGGACAGCTTGTGTAAAGGCCTGAAGGGGGTAATGGACAAGCTTCAGGGGGCCTGAGATTCAACTTCGGGGTGGAGGGTGGGAAGCAGCTCACGGGGGCCAAGACCGAGCTGACAAATAACCCCCATTCTTCCCTCCACAGGTGGCTCTAGCTTGCCAAACATCCTGTCTCGAAGGCCTCTCCCACCCCTGCCTCTACAATGGCTGCAAGAACCATGATCATTGACCATGGGTCTGGCTTTTTGAAGGCTGGTCTGTCCGGCTGGAATGAGCCCCAGATGGTCTTCCCGAACATCGTGAACTACATGCCGTGCAGGGAGAACCCCGGCCCCAGCTACGCCCGGAGGCGCGTGAGCCTGGGCATCGACATTTGCCACCCCGACACCTTTAGCTACCCCGTGGAGCGTGGCCGTGTCCTCAACTGGGAGGGCGTGGAGTACATGTGGTCATTTGTCCTGGATAAACACAGACGGGAGCCTGAGGACTCCCCCGTGATGGTCACGGAGTTTCCCTTGAGGGAGCCTGCGGACCGACAGAAGACCCTGGAGGTGAGGCCCTCTGGAGTGGCCCTCACTGGGTAGGGGAGACAGCTGACACTGTGGCTGGACCGGATTGGGCACCAGGACTTCTGCTTTTAAAAATAATTTGCAAGCTGGGCACGCCTGTAATCCCAGCATTTTGGGAGGCCAAGACAGGAGGACTGCCTGAGCCAAGGGGTTTGAGACTCACTTGGTGAGGCCTCATCTCTACATTAAATAAAAAATTAGCCAGGTGTGGTAGCACATGTCTATAGTTCCAGCTACTAAGAAGACTGAGGTGGAAGAATCACCTGAGCCCAGCAGGTTGAGGCTACAGTAGCCGTGAACGTACCACTGCACTCTAGCCTGGGTGACAGAGTGAGACTTCAACTTAAAATATATATATATAAAATAGTAATAATTTACCCTACAAAAGTTTCCTGAGTACCTAGTATGCACCCAGTACCAGTACCAGGTTAGAGTCACTCATAGGGTCCCCTCCTGCAGACAGAGACACAGCAACCAAAGTGCTTGGTGGAAACGGGACTACCAGGGGAGATATGGGTTTCATAAATGTGCACAGACTGTGTGGTGTTCTGGTCCTCAGAGAGCTTCCCTGAAGGGTTTAACAGTTAATTCCAGATAGTGATCAGTTCTAGAAACAGAGTGAAATGGAGTGATGGAGTCTCTTTGAACAAGGTGATCAGGAAGATCTTCTCTGAGGAGGTGATTTTAGCCAGTGAGGCTGGAGCCCGGCAGGAGTGTCAAGAGACAAGTAGGATAATGGAGTTGGCAGGGGCCAGATCTTGCAGGCCTGGGAGGCTGTGAGGGGCTGCTTGGATTCTGCTCTACATCAAGGGCTGGCAAACCAGTGAGCCGAATCCGGTCCACCACCTGTTTTGTAAATAAAGTTTTATTGGAACACAGCCACACCCATTAATTTACATACTGTGTATGGTTGCTTTCAAATGCAAAAGCACAGCTGAATAGTTGTGATGGAGACTGGGAGACTGTGTGCGTCTGTATCAAGCTAAAATCTAAAATATTTACTGTCATAGGTTTGCTAGATAAAAATGCATGATGCCTAGTTAGATTTAAATTTCAGATAAACAAATAATGTCTTAGTATAAGTATGTCCCAAATGTTACATGGGGCATACCTACACCTAAACATTCTTTGTTGTTGGAAATTCAAATATAACTGGCCAGCCTGTATTCTTATTTGCTGAATTTAGCCACCCTTTGCAGAAGATGCTTGCCAACCGCTGCTCTCAGTGAATAGGAAGCTCCTGGAGCATTTTAAATGGGGAAGTCATATCTGATTTTCTATTTGAAAAGGAGGCTCTTGGCTGCTATTTGGGAAATGACTGGTGGGGGACAATATTCTGAAGGGAGGAATGGTGGGCGCTCTCTCTCACTGTGGGGGGAAGATGGGCCTGCGGGGCCCCAGAGGTAAGCAGGTGACCCTGGCTGCGGAAGGAGGGACTGCTGTGGTCTTTCTGCATTCACGGGGGTCAGAACCTTGGGAACACAGCCAGGCTGGGCAATTGGGGGGTGTCTGTAAAGATCTGGGGGGGATGGGTAGGGGAGGAAATCAGCTCAGGGACTCCATCAGACCCTAAATATCAGAATTCCAGTTTTGTCTTGATGTTTGGAGAGTTTTTGCTTAATAATAATAATAAGACTTCACCTACTAGGCAGGGAGCATATTTCCCCCCTGCCTGCCTGCCTCCCTCCTGTGTTTTGGAGACAGTGAACAGGCAGCGCTCATTTCTTTTCCAGTCTGTTCTTCCTTCTTCTGGAGAGGCGGCTCAGGCTGCTAATGGGAACATTCTGGTGCCATTTCTTGCAGCCGCAGGGCTCTTCCCACCACTCCACTGAAGTGGTCTTCTAAAAGGCTGTGATCAGATAAGTTCTTGAGGGCAGCTCCAGCTCCTTGGCTAACCCTCTAGTACTTCCTCTTTCTTCCCACTGTGGGAGCTTCAGTGCCCTGGGCCCAGCATCCTGGGGGCAGCTGGAGAGGCCCCCGAGGACGTGGGTCTCTGTTGCCTAGAGTTTTGAGAGCCAGGCAGTTTGGGGAAAGTGCACTGAACACCTCGCTCCTTGTTGCAGATCATGTTCGAGCTGCTGGATGTCCCATCTGTGCTCCTGGCTGACCAGCTGCAGATGTCTCTGTATGCCTCTGGCCTCCTGACTGGCGTGGTGGTTGATTCTGGCTACGGCTTGACCCGTGTGCAGCCCTTCCACCTAGGCCGCCCCCTTCCCTCCAGCAGCAAGATGCTGGAGTTTGCTGGCCAGGATCTCTCCACCTACCTCTTCAAGAGCCTCTTTAAGGAGGATTTCAATAGACACAACTTGTTCCAGCTGGAAACGGTCGCCGCGACTCAGATGACCAAGTGCTATGTGCCGCAGCACCTGGGGGAGGCCCTGGACTTCCGCCAGAGCCTGCCCCAGTGGCTCAGACGAGAGCAACAGCTACCGGCTCCCGGATGGCACACCGGTGGAGCTGAGCCCCCTGCAGCGGCTGGCCCCCGAGATGTTCTTCAACCCGCAGGTGTTCGACCTGCCAGGGCCCAGCATCCCGCAAGCTGTCGTGGATTCAGTGGAGTCCTGTGAGGCCTCCATGCAGCCACTGCTGGTCTCCCACGTGATGGCCTGTGGGGGCAACACCCTGTACCCTGGCTTCACGAAGCGCCTATCCAAGGAGCTGGCCGCAGATCGGCTCTCCTACACCAAGTCCACCATCTGGGTGGGCTCCAACCGGAACTTCAGCGTCTGGTTGGGGGCATCCGTGGTGGCACATCTTTCTACGCACAAGTCGGAGTGGATGACCAGGGAGGAATATGAGGAGCGCATGAGACTGTGACCTGTTGGCTGCCTCCTGGGAATGGGCTTCCGTCAGACGGGCATGGGCGGATTAATTTCAGCAAAATGGTCTGGGCAGGGGTGGAACGGGGTGGGGTGGGGGTGACTGGCCTTGGAATTCTGAGGTCATGAGAGATGTTTTTTCTGTTCTAAGATGTTATCTTGTTTTAAGAGTGAGGTTCAGGCCAAAGGAGGATAGAGTATCATCCCTGAAAGCCCTGCAGGGACAGTTTTTCCAGGGTGGCATGTCCCTGGGGTGGGAGTGGCCGTCTGCCATCTCTCTGCCCAAGAGCCACCGTTTTCCATTGGCGTCTTCCTTGGGGTGTCTTGTTCCTCTTGGTGGAGTAGGTTGTAACTGGGGTAATCCCTCTGCTAGGAGTCCCCATTAGTTTTGATGAGGGGACAGGGATGGTGGGGCTGGGGAGAGTTGAAGTTTCTAGTCCTCCAGGCCCTTTGGGGCCAGGGAGTCAAGTGAATGTGGAATGCCCTTGCCACCGAGGCCAGGGTCTTGTTTTATATATGCAAATAAACCATTTGTTTGGAAGCAATTCCGGCTCCTGTGATGGATGGGGTTAGGGTGGACGGCCCCTGGGGAGGCCCAGGGAGTGTGAGTGTGAGAGCCATGCAGGGCCAGGGCAGGTTCTAAGGTGTCCGAGCCTGTGGACAGTGGCTGACCCCGGGCAGAGTAAAGAAGGGCCTGGACCCACCCACACCCCTCTCAACAGCCCCCCCCCCGCCAAGCCCGTGTTCTGTCCATCCAACCTAGGTATTCTGATATTCTATATGTGTCTAATAAATATTCAAGGACCTACTGTGTTTCAGGTATTGTGCTGGGCACTGGGGCCTCCAGGTAGAAAGGATATGTGAGGTTTCTGTTTTCGAGGTTACAGTCTCCTGTGGAGGATCTCTTGCAGACAGTAAATCACATTTGCCAGTGATGAAGAATGCTGTAAACCCGATGTCATCAGGTCGTGTGGTCTGGAGGTGAAGCAGTGACTGCTTTTGATGGAGTGTACTGAGATGATGATTGCTGGGATCCACCATGACTGTGTCTTCTCCTTCCATGGCACACTGTGAGGCTACGCTCCCTGGCAGTTAGGTAGGGCCATGTAGCTGAGGTCTAGCCAATTTGGTATATGCCTGACTCTTAAAATACCTGTCACAGCTTTCAGGATGGAGGGTCGGATGGAGGACTTGGAAGCCTCGGGGTAGCAGAGCTGCAGATGGGAAGAACCTGAACGCTGAGGACTGTGGGGGGCGGGTAGGGGTCAGTGCAGCTGAAACCCCTCCCCTGCTGCAGTGACCTGTGCTGGCCTGTGATGTGAAGAAGGATCTGTTATGTTTGGCCCTTGAGACTATAGGGCTGCTTGTTATAGCACCTGTTTTGCTTCCTTTGATGAACAGAGAAAGGAGCCATAACTTACTCTTCATTTAACAAATTATTTTTTCTGTTAAGTGACAGAAAAATTAAGAGCCTGATGTGGGCTCTCAGCCACTGTGTACCCAGCTGTTTTTAAAAGGGGTCCTTGGCTCCCTGAGATAAGAAAGATTGAAGCCCTAGGAACCCAGTGTCTCCGCAGGGGCAGAAATATGGAGGGCAAGTCCAGCTCACCTTGTTTGTGTCCACATGAGCCTGTTCTCAGCCACCACTTTACCCCCAACCTGTGTTCTCAGTGGTCCCCAGGGAACGGCAGGGGCCTGGAATAATGACTGTCTTGTGGATCAGCTCAGAATCAGCCTGCTGTAGGCCCTGGGCCTTGGAGTCAGACTAAGCTCCAGGATGGGCTTGTCTTTAGCTGAGCTACTGGGGGCAGGCTGTTGAACCTCTCTGAGACTATCACATGTAAAATAGGGAGTCAGATTTCCTCCACTCACAAATTTGGGGTTGAGCATTAGCTAAGATACGGGGCGAGGACTCACTTTGAAAACTATGAAGTGCTGTTGAAATGTAAGATGTGACTTAAAAAAAATTTTTTTTTGAGACAGGGTCTCACTGCATTGTCCAGACTGGAGCACAGTGGTACAGTCATTGCTCACTGTTGCCATGAATTCCTAAGCTCGAGCTGTCCTGTGGGCCTCAACCTCCTGAGTAGCTACAACTGCAGGTACACACCACCATGCCTGGCTCATTTTTTGTTTTTATTTTTGTTTGTAGAGACAGGGTCTTTCTATGTTGCCCAGGCTGGTCTCCAACTCCTGGCCTCAAGTGATCCTCCTGCCTCAGCCTCCCAAAGTGCTGGCCGACTTTATGTTTTATAGTGTGCGGTTGCTCTCCTGCTAATCAGGGGTTTTAATAACAACAGCCATGGCCATTGCCTTGCCAGGCATCGTGATGAGCAGTTTCTCCACACAGTCACTTTTAGTTGTCACGTGCACACTGTGAAATGAGTGACATTTGCCCCATTTACAAATAAGAACTGAAAATCAGAGATGGTAAGCACTTGCTCAGGACCACACTGGAGCTCGAGTTACTGGTGAACCGCCAGCGTTAGGCATGGATTCAGCATTCCTAGGAGATGAGATAAAGAGTGGCCAAGACGGACCTACCTGCCTCAGAATGGGCGGGCCAGTCAGGGGAGCAGTGGCATAGCTCCATCAGCCGGGATTCTTAACACCCCACGCCCCATTTTCCACCTTTGGTGTGCAGGCTTCTTGAGTTGTGGTTACAAAATGACTGCAGCAGCTCCAGACACCACACCCATCTTCTCTGGAGGAAAAGGAGGGGTGGAGTCTGTCTTTCTGTTAGGAAAGGATCACCCACAGACTTCTGTTTTCGTCTCACTACTTAGGGTAGCTGTAAGAAAGAGGAAGCGCGTAGGCACGGGGTGAGCTGATTCACAGTGTCTGTTCCTTGGCAGAGGAGGGATTTGAAACCAAGTCTGTTCAGACTAATGCCAGTGTCATCACCAATGGCATCAGGCTGCCTTTGCAGCTTCCAGGCCCTGCCGGTCCCCTCGGCCCAAGGGCTGCAGACGCGCGGGTTCTCCAGGCTGTGTGGAAGCTGCTGGGGAGCAGTCACGGCGTGGGCATCCGAGCAGTTGTCTTCACATGGCAGCCACGTATCTGTGTCCACCTGAGCCTTCCAGGGCAGAAGCAGGGCTCTGAAACGGGGACGCGGAGAGGGGGGCCTGCGGGACACGGGCAGGGTGCATTTGCTTTCCGTATTTAGCTCCGGGCAACTGTATCACCGCCCTTTTTCTCATTTCATTCTGAATGTAACATTTAACCTTTCTGTTCAAGCATCAAATCTGGCTGCCTGGCGTATAATTATGAACTTTTCTTCACTCTGTCTCCCCCCTCCCCCACCCCAAAAGCTTTTAAAACTTCCTCGCCGGGTACCATCTCTCTCCTCTGACTCTCCAATTAAATTAAAAATAGCAGCTCCATGGGCTGTGCAGGGCCATCAACCTAACACAGAGCTGCTGGCATGCCAGGCCTGGCGGGGCGGCGCCCAGTGCCCGGAAGACGCCTGCTGGCTTCAGCAGGGTCTGGCAGCTTCTTGGAGCCAGGGAGGCGCATCCTCTACGAGGGGTCTGGGCGCCTGCCAGGGGCAGCCAGGTGCAGGGGGGTGGGAGAGTCTCGGCAGCCGGGTGGGGGGCTGGCAGAGGGGACAAAGGGAAAGGGCCCGGGCGGGCCATCTCCAGTTGTGAGGGTTCTGTCCTGCCGATTGCTGCCGCCAGGGCTGGGGCTTAGCACCCCTGCGTCTGGGTGTGGGTAGGGTTTGGAGGCCCGAGTGCTCTGAGAAGCTTCTGGTTCTGCTGATGGTGAGGGCCGAGGCAACGTGAACACCGAGCACCCTCCTTGCTGCCTCTCCCACCTCTGGGAGCCTTTTTCGGGGAGGCGGATGATGACATGAACAAGGGCATGGACTCCGGAGCCAGACTGCCTGGGAAGAATCCCTGCTCTACTGCTTTCTGGCTCTGCTAAGCTCCCTGTGCCTCTGTTTGCTTGTCTGTAAAAAGGGCGTAATAGAGATGCCTGCCCCAGGCTGGTTTCAACACTCACCATGCAGGTTTAAATGAGTTAGCATGTATAAAACACTCAGCAAGTGCAGGCACATAGAGTGAGCTGTTACTATTTCTGCTCACTCCCACTGCTATCAGCCACGTCCTTAGGCAAAAACCTGGCTCTTCTGTTTCTATTTACTTGCTCACAGATAGATAGATGTCAGTGACACAAAGTGGACAAGACACCACAACGTGCTGCTTACTTTCCCGGGAGGAGGCATCGCAGCGATTGCTTGTCTGAGTGGTCTGAATGTTTGTGTCCCTGCAAAACACATGTTGGAAACTCATCCTTAAACACTGTGGTGTTTGTTAAGAGGTGAGGTCTTCCGGGAAGTGATCGCCGTGAGAGCTCTGTCCTTGTGAGTGGGATTGATGCCCCTTGTGAGTGATGGTCTCCCAGGGCTGCCTGGCTCTTCGCCACATGAGGACACAGCATCCGTCCTTTCTGGAGGACACAGCAACAAGGCACAATCTTGCAGCCGAGATCCAATCCTCACCAGATACCACATCTGCTGGCATCTTGATCTTGGACTTCCCGGACTCCAGAACTGTGAGAAAAATAAATTTCTGTTATTTATAAATTAGCTAGTCCATGGTATTTTGCTCAGGCAGCAGGAACAGGCGAAGACACTGAGTGACTGGGTAGAATCACATTCTGGACACAGAGGTGTCACAGGTGGGGAGTGCCTGGCACAGGGAGAGGTAGACGGCCAGAGGGGTCTTCTGCTGGAAGTGAGGCCTGAGTGATTCTTGCTGGAGCAGGAGGACTTTGCTCGTCCTGTAGCATGGAATGTTTGTCCCCACCATTGTCCCCTAGTTGCCTTGAGGCATGAGGGTGGCAGGGAGTAAGGACAGGGAAGGGGTGGTTGGCAGGGTCTGCCATCGGAAGACATGGAGTGTCACATCAAGGATGGAACTGTAAGCAGAGTTCAGGACTTGGGGAGCATCACTTGAAGGTGGGAGAGAGAGTTGAGTTCACACTGAGGGCAGAACG